TCCGCCGCGGAAAGCCTCGCTGGGCGTGTAATAGCAGTTGACTCCCAAAGAAGGGGTTTTAAATTCATTTAGTTAACTTGGGCTTGACCCGAGAAAGTTCCCACTTAAACCAAGAACTTTAAAAAAAGAGGGGGGGGACAGGCCCGGGGAGGGGGCGAGGGGCGGGCGGGGGGCGAGGGAGAGAGCGGGCGAGCGAGCGGGGAGAGTTTCTTTTCTTTGCGGTGTCTCAAGTTCTTATTCCTCATTCATCAACGCGCAAACAATGTCGTTCCGGGCGCGGGCGCCCCGGCGCCTCGCCCTCGCCCGCTCGGCCAGCTCGGTTCCTCTCTTAATGTACCGTGAAGATTAATTCCACTTTCATTCACGCTATGTCAACCATCTAATCCCCGCTTTTTGTAAGGGGAATTCCTCGGCCCCTTTTAAACAAGTCCCGTCCGCATTGAGCGACAATTTACTGCTACAGCATTTTTTTTCTCCAGGGCTAATGAATTTAGAATTAGCGATTTCATTCGAATGGAGCCCAATGAATGCGATCGCTTTAACGGCGTGACAAATCGCCCGCTGGGCCCGCCACGGACACCGTTTAACCCCCTCCCCCTGCCCGCCGCTCCCCGCTCCCCGGTATTTTCCCAGGTAGCTTAGACGGGTGAGGGGGGCAAAGCTTGTCAGACGGGGCGGCCGCCCCTGCGCGCCTGCCGGCCTCGCCCGCCGCTCCCACCCACCCTCTCCCCCGGCCCCACCCCGATCGGGGCGCCCCTGGGAGCCGAGGGCCACCGGCTCTCGGGGTGCTGGCACCTCCTGGAGGCTGGGAGCCAAGACGGAAGCGGGGCGTCGCCGGGGGTCACCGGTCGAGCGGAGCCGGTCTTCCACGTCCCCCCCCCCGTCGGTCGGTGTTTCTTGGGCACCTCTGGGTCCTCAACTCCGGAGATCGGTCCCCAGTGCCGGCCGCATCCGGCTGTCCGGGGCGCTGGGCGGCCGGCAGGGACCCGGGTGCGGCGTTACGCCCGCGTCCCGTTTGGTTTCCTCGTCGGCCGGCGTGTGCGCGGCGGAGCAGGACGTTTGTCCTGGGTGGAGCGGGTCTTGCAAGGGGATGTTTTACGAATGGGTGGAAAGACGGACAGAACAACACCACACCCCGCAAACCCCGGCTCTTCAAACCAGCCCCGGGGCCGGGGGAGGGGTTCCCAGCAGAAGGGCTCACGCCAGGCCCTGGGTTCGATTGGCCGTCACGCCCAAAAAGGGCAAAACGAAAAACAGCGAGGAAGAGGGGTGGGGCGCCGCTTTCCTTCCGGGGCGCGGGGAGTCCGAGGGTGCGACCCGAAGGGGCCGGGTGCGCTGGGCCTCGCTGGAGAGCCGGCTCCATTTCGGGGCGGACGAGTCGGCGCCCCGGGCGGCGCTCGGGGAGGGCAGGGCGCTGACCCGGGCCCCGCTCCCCGGGCTGACCGCCCGCCCGCCCCGGGCCCGCTCCCTGCGCAGAGGTGCAGAAGCTCTCCAGCCTGGTGCTGCCGGTGGAGGTGATCATCGCCCAGAGCTCCATCCCCGGCGAGGGCCTCGGCATCTTCTCCAAGACCTGGATCAAGGCGGGCACGGAGATGGGGCCTTTCACCGGCCGCATCATCGCCCCTGAGCACGTGGACATCTGCAAGAACAACAACCTCATGTGGGAGGTAAGTCCGCTGCGGGTGCGGCCGGCCTGCTGCGGGGGTTCCCGTCCCCCGGCCTGCTGCGGGGTGTCCGGTCCCCCATCCAAATGCCTCAACAGCCTCCTTTTTGTTTTCTTTTTTGGTGCCCGGCTTGGGGCTTGTTGTACATGGGACTGGGCCCTGTCCCTAAACTTGTTTTTTTCCCCTCAAGGCTGGTGCTCTACTATTCGAATCATAGCCCCACTTCCAGCTTGTTTTATGGTTAATTGGGGATTCTAGAGTCTCATGGACTTTCTGTGACTTTCCCAGCTTTGAACTGAGATCCTCAGATCTCAGCCTCCTGGACCCAAGGCCCCCAGCTGGCAGCCTCATTCTTACTGGGGGCCCAATACTCCCCTAGGCAGGCTCTTAAGACCTGGGCACCGGGAGCTTTCCCTGACTCTTTTTCTCCTAGGACACCAGATGCAGGCTGGCCTAGGGAATAGCTCCGGCCAATGCTGAGGACCCGGATGGTTTTCAACAGCATTTCACAGATGAGGGCACTGATACCCAGACAGGCTGGGGCTTTTGCTCAGGGGCTGTATACTCAAGCAGAACAGACAATTCCATTTTGGTGTGTGTGTGTGTGAGTCCTGGGGCTTGAACTCAGGGCCTGGGCACCATCTCTGATCTTTTTTTTCCCACAAGGCTAGCACTCTACCATTTAAGCTACAGTTCACTTCTAGCTTTTTTTTTTTTTTGGTGCTTAATTGGAGATAAGAATTTCATAGACTTTTCTGCCCCAGGTGGCTTTAAATCAGGATCCTCAGATCTTAACCTCCTAAGTAGCTAGGATGCCAGCCATGAGCTTGGCTTGCCATTTCTATTCTTTTCCTGGCCATAGGACCTATAAGGGACATTCCTCAAGGCCACGGCCCTGGCCTGGTGGGTGAGGTGGGTGTGTGGCTGTACGGAGGACAACGGAAGGAGTGAGTGCTTCTTAGAAATCAATTTCCTGTCCTCAGCAGAGTGTCATCCAGAATGATGGTTGTCCACTGAGCGCCGAGGCGGCTGGCCGGGTTTCCAGCCTGCAAGCCATGGCGTTACCTCAGCAGCCCTATGATTTGTCATCCCCATTTTATAGAAGGAAGTGAGGCTCAGAGAGGCTGCCATCCGGCAGTGGGGGGGGAGGGGGAGGGCTGCCCCTAGGACAAAGCCAGCGCTGTGGGCTGTGGGCTGTGGCGGTTCTTCCTGGGAGGCAGATGGCAGAGCTCCTCTCTCATCTTGTCCCCCACCCTTCCTGCTCCCCAAAGCTCCCTGAGGAGCCCAGTGTGAGGAGCCTGCCACTGGTCAAGGGCACTAGGGAGGAGCACAGAGGAGGGAGAAGAGGAGGAGGACTGGGGATCTTCTAACCTCATCTTCTCCCTCATCTGGAGTCTGGGTAGTGATGATCTTTCCAGTTGTCACCAAGCCAGGAAGTTTGGGGTCAAGTTTGGCCTCTTGGCTCTGAGCTAGACCTAGGTGTCCTAGGGATCCAGGCTTTCCTCTCTAGGGCCTTGTGTCCCTCTCTGAGGTCCTGGTCAGGGCTTTCTTCTGCCCTGGGAGCACCTCTGTATATATATATATATATATATATATATATATATATATATATATATATATATACACACACACACACCACACACACAACATCATCATCATCATCAGGATGCTTGCGGGAGGCTTTATTGCCCGCTCAGTAGCCCTTGAAGATGTTTTGCTTCTGAGTGTGGGAAGACCTGACAAGGGAAGCCCGTCATGATCAGTGCTGACCGTGGGGCTGATGGCAAGCAAGCCACTGGACCCCCAGCCTCCCGCTCCTCTGCTGAGAAGAAAGAATGGTACAGCCAGGCGCCAGCCTGTCATCCTAGCTGCTCAAGAGGCTGAGAACCTCGGGTCAGGGGCCAAAGTCAGCCCAGGCAGGAAAGTCCGTGAGACTCTTATTTCCAATTAAGCACCAAAAAGCTGGAAGTAGAGCTGTAGCTCAAACAGTAGAGTGCCAGCCTTGAGTGAAAAGGCTCAAGGAGATAGCACCTAGCCCTGAGTTTAAGCCCTTGTACCAGCACACAAAAAGAAGTGTGTGTGTGTGTGTGTGTGTGTGTGTGTGTGCATGTGCATGCCCACAGGCACATTCACATGCACATGTGTGACTGGCCTGGGCTCTAGGAACCACAAATGTGGCCTAGCCACACCTCACCTGGTCCCTGTTGCACCCACGCCCAGGTGTTCAATGAGGATGGCACCGTGCGCTACTTCATTGATGCCAGCCAGGAGGACCACCGGAGCTGGATGACCTACATCAAGTGTGCTCGGAACGAACAGGAGCAGAACCTGGAGGTGGTCCAGATCGGCACGAGCATCTTCTACAAGGCCATCGAGGTGTGTGCATGTGCTGTTGTGCAGGGACCAGCTTGGTCCCATGGGGTGGCATGCGGGCCATCAGTGTCTGGGCCCCAGGAAGGACAGAGAGACATCGACTGGCCAGATGGGCCAGGCCTAGCCACTGGTCTGAGCTCACAGGATCACACCATGATGGAAAGGATGGACTTGGAACTTTTGTGGTTTTAAATGCCCTGAACTAGATGTGAGGTCCCAGAGGTCTCTGGAGGGTGTGCTGGTCCGTGGAGCAATAGACGAGAGAACAAGGTGTGAAGTAGCAGGCAGGCTAGGGACAGCACTGGGTGGGAGGAGCAGGCGTGTCTCCCCTCATTCTGCATGTCTGCCATGCTGACAGGATGGGCAGCTGATGACTCTAGTCTCAGCCGTAGCTCATTGCATGTCAGGCTTTTCCCAGATGCCTTTTCTGCATCCTTTATTTAATCGTACTGAACCCCTGAACGAGGAGGAGGACTCTGACATGGTTTCTAGTTCAGACATGGGATCTGGGGTCTTGCAGTGTGGCAGGCAGCGCTTGCAGGGCCTGGGGGTGGGGGAAGACAGTGGTTCTGTGACTCTTCTCAGAGGCGCAAGGGAGGATAAGTGGGGGGGTAGTAAGAGGCATGTGAAGTGGGGGAGGGCAGGGCAGGGCCAGGGTGGTTGGAAGGCTCTGGGGTGGGAGAGTAGGTTTTAGGGGGAGCCTTGAGCTGGGGATGGAGAGTTAGAGCTGCTCTGGGAGCTGTGGTCGTTCACTGGTAGTTGACGTGAGTCTCCCAGGCTAGAATCTCTTAGGAGCTATGTCTGTCTGGCCAGAGTGCTAGAAGCTTCTCCTGCCTGCTGTTTGGGGTGGGTGGCTGTGCCCCCCAGTGTCCTCTGGCCTTTGGCCTTTGGCTCCTTTGTGTGGAGGAAGCCCGGTGGGATGGAGCGGAGGCCTGGGTGGGCTGGCCAAGTGGTCCAGGCCCCTCAGGACAGCGATGGCTTCCATTTCTCAGGGACCCAGCCTCCAGGCGCGTTTAGCATTCCTGAGGTGCCAGGCCTAGTCGCTTATGGACCTGAGCCTGGTGTGATGGTGTGGTAGGGGTGGGGGCTGGAACACAGACGCAGGGCAGGCCCTGGAGGACCAGGAAGTAGAGGCTCAGGAAGGGTGAACTGGGCCTCCACTGGAGTCCAGAGTGCCCGCACAGCTGGGCCAAGGCCAGTGTAGAACCAAAAGTGGTCTATGCAGGGTTGGGGGTGTTGGGCTGGTGGCTTTGGCACCCCCCAGTTGGGCCACGCCCTTCTAGAATGAGCTTCAGAGACAGCTGGACTCCACCTTTATCAGAACACATCCCTGGGGGGGTGGAGGGTTAGCTTTCCTCAGGCTCCCACGCACATGTGTCACCACCTGTCTACATGACTTTCCGGCCATGGAGATGGAGGGCAGGCACGTACCATGATTCCCGCACAGACACATGCATGCGCACACACACACACACACACACACACACACACACACACGCCAGTACAGACCAAGACTGCTGAGAATGCCTCTGTCATTTTGGCAAGAGGATGGATTCCTGGCTGGAGCGGCTAGGGAGCCCCACTGATCAGGACATTGCAATAGATGTTTCTAAAGAAATACAGACACTGAAGACCACGGTTCAAAGCCAGCTTGGGCAGGAAAAGTTCATGAGACTCTTATCTCCAATGAACCACCAGAAAACCAGAAATGGTGCCGTGGCTCAAGTGGTAGAGCACTCATCTTGAGCTGAAGAGCTGAGGGACAGCGCCCAGGCCCAGAGTTCAAGCCCCACACCACCAAAAAAGAAAGAAAGAAAGAAATTCAGAAAGCCAGGCACTGGTGGCTCAGGCCTGTATTTCTAGTTACTAAAGGAGGCTGGGATCTGAGGATTGTGGTTTGAAGTCAGCAGGGAGCAGGGAAATCTGTGAGACTCTTATCTCCAATCAAGCACCAAAAAGCCAGAAGTGGAGCTATGGCTCAAGTGGTAGAGCATCAAGCCTTGGGTGAAAAAACTAGGGGACAGTGCCCAGGCCCTGAGTTCAAGCTCCAGGACCAACATAAAGGGGCAAAAAAAAAAAAAGAAGTTCAGAGTTAGAGGACAGAGTAGAAGATTTCCAGGAAGGGACCAGTGTGACTGGTTGGGAGGTTAGTCTACACTTGCTCCAGAATGGAAGATAATAAAAGAACGGGATGTATCTATAGCATTTACTACTGTCTGTTTGACGTGTATGTGATTTTGGGAGCTACCTCAGAGGTGGCTAGCAGGCTGTCAAAGGCAGCGAGCCTGCTGTAAAGGAGCTGTGTGACTGAGGGACAAGAATACACAGAAAAGCCCCACGTTTCTTCTCACAAGGGAAGTTGCATGCTTTTTCCTCAGTAGCAATTTTCTGGAACCATATTGACACAATGTCAGATATGTCAGATTGCACTTAGCAGGAGGATAAATCGAGTGTGCATGTGGGTCTGTGGGGGGGGACGCCCACCCCACCCCCCACCCCCAACCCCAGGGCAGGCCTGGGCTCAGTGCTCAGGAGCCCTTCTGGGCTAGACCACAGCCAGGGCCGCTCCCCCAGGCTGCTTGCCCCACATCTTTGCAATAAATCGCCTGTTTGTTCTGCGCCTGTGTGGGGTTAGCCGAGGAGAGGGACCTTGGCTGCCATCTGTTTTCTTGATCTTTCTGCCACTCATGAGGGCTATTTATACTTCATAACAGTAACCCATCGCTTGCCAAAATACGGAAAAAGCAACTTTGCAAAGAAACACACATGCTCAGATCTCCAAACATAATCAAAGGTGCTGATGGCGTTTCTAAGCACCCAGGGCTGCAAGGAGCTTTATCCCAGGCTGGATATCCTGGGCCCGGTCCATGCTTACATTGATCAAGATCCTTTCTCTCACCTAGTGGGTCTTCGTGGCATTTCTAGAAAGTTCCCAGCACATAGCCAGGGAGGACTAATCAATTGTTGAATGGAAAAGGTTTTTTCAGCAGGTGAAAGGGGCCAAACCCATAGGGGATCCAGGGACCCAGTTCTTCCACAAAAACAAAACTACTTGTTACAGGAAGAAAGCAAGGTCTTGTCTGACATTTGTTTATTTAGTATTTGTTTATTTATTTTTGGTGGTTCATGGGGCCTGAATTCTGGGCCTGGGCACTGTCCCTCAGCTCTTCAGCTCAAGGCTAGCGCTCTACCACTTGAGCCACAGCACCACGTCCATTTTTTTCTGCTTATGTGGTGCCAAGGAATTGAACCCAGGGCCTCATGCATGCAAGGCAAGCACTCTACCACTGGGCCACCTTCCCAGTCCTAGTATTTATTTTGTATATATGTGCTTATTTATTTTTCTACCAGTAGTGGAGTTTGAACTTAGGGCCTGAGTGTTCTCCCTAAGATTTTGTTTTGCTCAAGACCAGCGCTCTACCACTTTGTGCCTCACCTCTACTTTCAGCCTTTTGGTAGTTCGTTGGAGATAGGAGTCTCATGGACTTTCTTGCCTGGGGCTAGCTTGGAACCACGGTCCTCAGCTCTCAGCTTCCTGGGTAGCTAGGATGGCGGGCTTGAGCCGTGCATGCTTGGCTCGTCTAGACTTAGAAGTCTGCACAAGGAAAGGATTTAGAACTGTGTTATTACGACTTTCGGTTTTGTAATTCTAAGAAAACCTCTAGTCTTTCTCTTCCCTATTCTTTGGCAAATTATTATGCCCTGAAATGTAGGCTTTTTCTTCCTGCAATTTTCCCTTTCATTTCAGACAGCTGAGCTTTTAATTTTTTTCGCAGAGCTACATCTCTGTCTTGGCGCTGAAGGTGAGCACCATTTTTCTCTTGACTTTGTTTATCCCTTTGACCTTGCTTATCAGTGGGTGCTCTTTAATTGCTCTAATTGTTCATGATTGGCTTCATTTTAATAATGTCACACAGAACACAGCATGGCTGCCACCGTGCTAATGTCCCCTTTTTCTAAATTTATTTAATTTATTTTTGGTTTATGTGGTACCAAGGAATCAAACCCAGGGCCTCATGCATGCTAGGCAAGTGTTCTTCCCTGCCTGCTAACGTCCTTTGATGGCTTTTGGTGGGACTGAGCGTTTGACCTCAGGGCCTCATGCTTGTTGAGCTGGCCTAAAAACCCTGGGCTAGGCCAGCGTCCCTCTTTTTCACCAGGTATTTTTAGGACAGGGTCTCCTTTCCTGCCCAGGAGTGGGCCTGGGCTTCAATCTCTGCTTTCAGCTTTGCCCTGCTTTCCGCTCGCTGCCATGACAGGATGACGCCATTGCATCCAGCTGTCCTCTGCAGTTTCATGGACTTTTTCTGCCTGGAGGGCTCTGAACTTAGCCCTCATGTAGCTGGGGTGATGACAGGTGAATGGCATTGCATCCAGCCATGCATCGAGAAGGGTCCCTCCAGAACTTTTCTTTCTTTCTTTTTTTTTTGGGTCCGGTCGTGGGGCCTGAACTCTGGGCCTGGGCGCTGTCCCTCAGCTCTTTAGCTCAAGGCTAGCACTCTACCACTTGAGCCACAGTGCTACTTCCGGCTTTTTTCTTATGTGGTGCTGAGGAATGGAACCCAGGGCCTCATGCGTGCAAGGCAAGTGCTCTACCACTGAGCCACCTTCCCAGCCCCCCTCCAGAACTTTTCTGCCTGGGTTGGCCTAGAACAACGAATCTCCTGATCTCAGCCTGTTAGGTAGCTGGGATTACCAGCCTGAGCTAGGGGTAGCTGGCTATTGCACTAACATCCTTTCTAAAAGGTCTTAAACTGTGTGTGTGTGTGTGTGTGTGTGTGCACATGCGTGTGTGCACGTACGCATGTGTGTGCATGCTTGGGATGGAAGCTGAGGCCTGGTACAAGCCCTCGTATGTGCTCTGTCATGGAGCTGATATGGCCAAGCATGCCCTCGGGCATGTCATTACTAATCCCACTTATTTTGACTCATTTGTTTTCTGTGGTGCTGAGAATGAAACCCAGGGCTTTGCAAATGCTGGATGAGGGCTTTGCCTGCGAGCC